ATTACAAGCCCCAAAAGAGGAAGGGACATAAGAGAGCACAAACATCAAATGTAGACCCCAAGCCAAAGAAAAACCACCCCCAAACAAACAAACAAACAAGCAAACAAGCCCACCCACCCAACCAACTAACAAACCAGAATTGAAGGCTTGTCACTGCCCCGAAAGAGGGCTTTTAAAGTATGTATTAAAGCCAGTGGAGGGTAGGAGGAGGTGACCTCTGGGCTGAACCTAGTGGGAAGAGTCTTTAGGGCAGAAGGCAGAAGGAAGAGCTATGAGAATGGGGGACGGGTCCCAGGAGCGGGTAGGGCCCACACAATGCAGGGTAGGGTGGGCCATAGTGAAGAGTGGATGAGAAGTCCCTGAGAAGTAAAGAGAGGAGGAGGACCAAGATCTCATGTGAGTGCACCAAGGTTCCTGGTTGCTGGTGATGAATGGAGGGCTGGGTGATTTGGGCAGATTGTTATATGGCGATGCTATGGATTTCTCACTGCATCATAGCAAAGGACTTGTGATACAAGGTTGTCCATTACAGGAGATACTGAGTCTGATCTGTTGTAAGGGGCTTTCCCACCTGTGTAATTAAAAGTAATCTGTACCTTTCCCCACAAAAGAATTAATTTGTGAGTGATGGGTAGGGTACAGAGAATATTCTTCTTATTTTTTTCCAGTTTCTATTTTTTATAGGTGCATGTTTGAAGTACATAATAATTACACTCCTTAAAGGAAGTTGGTACATGTAAACAACACATCTTCTTTTTCATTCCCTTCCTTTCTCCATCTCTTTGTCCCCCTTCCATTTGAAAAAAGATCTATCTTCCTGTTTCCATTATCTCTCTTTTATTTTGTTCTTTATATTTTGGGTTTATCATGTAATAAACCATATGATATTTAAGCTTGTGTGTCTGATTTATTTCACCCAACATTATGGTCTCAAGATGCATCCATTTTCCCATAAATGATTCAAGTTTATTCTTCTTTGTGGTAAAGTAGTACTCTTTTTGTATAAATACCACGTTTTCTCTAACCATTCATCTGTTGATGGACGTAGAGGCCACTTCTAAGATTTAGCAATTATAAATTGTGCTGCTATAAACATGGATATGCATGCATCACTGTACCATGACATCTTTATCTCTTTGGGGAAGAAATCCAGAAGGGGGAGAGCTGGGTCAAATGGGACTTCTATTTTTAATTTTTTTGAGGAATTTCCATACTGCTGTCCATAGTGGTTATACCAGTTTACATTCCCACCAACAATGTATAAAGGTTCTTTTTCCCCTGCAGTTTCACCAGCGCTTGTTACTTTTTGGTTTCTTGATAATAGTTATTTTTACTGGAGTAGGTAGAATCTCAGTGTTTTAATCTGCAATTCTCTAATGGCCAATGAAGTTGAACATTTTTTAGTGTATTTATCGGCCATTTGTACTTCTTCTTCTGAGAATATTCATTTCAGTTGTTCATTTTTTTGATTGAATCTTTTATTTTAGGTGTCTAATTTTTCGAGTTCTTTATATTCTGTCTGAGACGTAGCTGGCAATTTCTTCTCGTTATATAAGTTGTCTCTCCACTCTGTTGTTTGTTCCCTTTGCTGTGCAGAAGCTTGTAAATTTGATATGATCCCATTTATTGATCCTTGATATTATTTCTTGTGCAACTGGGGTTATGTTCTGAAAGTTCTTGCCTATGTCCATGTCTTTAAGAGTTTTACCTATTTTATCTTCCAGAAGATTATGTGTTTCTGTTTTAACATTTAGATCTTTGATCCATTTTTAATTTCAGTTTAGTGTATATATGGATCTAGCTTCAATCTTCTGCATGTGGATAGCCAGTTTTCCCAGCACCATTTATTAAAGAGGCTATCTTTCCTAAGCATTGTTTCTTTTTTTTTTTTTTTGGTACCGGGGATCGAACTTGGGTCCTTGCGCTTGCGCAGCAGGCGGGGAAACCACTGAATCCCCGGCCCTATCTTTCCTTCATTGTATGTTCTGCCCCTTTGTGAAAGATCAGGTAGCTGAATGTGCTTGGAGTTGTTTCTGCATCCTCTATTCTGTTCTATTGATCCACGTCTTTTTGTTCCAGTACCATGCTGCTTTTTATCACTATAGCTTTGTAATAGAACATGAAATCCAGGATTGTGATGCCTCCTTTTTTGCTCTTGTTACTCAACTTTGCTTTGGCTATTTTTGATCTCTGTTGATTCCATATAAACTTAGGATTGTTTAGAGAATTTTTTTTTTCAAAACAACTTTTCACTCAGTAATTTAAGCTTCCATGGATAAGTTCCTGTCTAGAACAATGATACACTGGAAGTTACAAAATAATTTGGATATGATTTTTAATGGCTGTCTAATATGCCACTTTGTGAATTATATAACTATTTATTGAATCTTCTCCAATTAAAAATTTAGATGATTTCTTTTCTGTCTATTTTGGTTGCTATTACAAGTAATGTTTACCATTAATATTCTATGGCTATATATTTATAGACTCCTATAATTAAGTATTTAAAGAAAAATTGAAATGATCCTGGGTCATATAAGCTATAACCATTTTCTGAAGGATTTGGTCTATATCGACAAATTGCGTCTTAGGGAATTATAACAAATTTTGCACTCAGTAAGAGTTATAAGAGCCTGGTTCCTCACAGTTCAGCCAAACTTCAGAATGTATCATTAACAAACTAATAAAAGAAAATGGTTTCTCATTACAGGCTGAGCATCCCTTAACTGAAATGCTGGGAGCAAAGAGTTTCAGAGTTTAGTTTTTGCAGATTTTGAAATATTTGCATATACCTTACTGGTTGCATATCCCTAATTTGAAAATACGAAATCCAAAATGACTCAATATCTGAAAATTTTGAACATTGACTTGAAGTTCGAAATGTTTGGGATTTTGGAACATTTTAGATTTCAGATGTTTGGATTATAGATGTTCAACCTGTGGTTTACTCAGTTGCATTTACTCAACTACAGTAAGGCCAAAATGTTTGTTCTTCTTCTTGACCATATTCTGTGCCAACCCTTTTATTCATCTTTTATGCATTGACCTGTAAGAGCTCTTTATACACTAAGGACATTAATTCTTTATCTTAAATACATATTGTAAATATTTTCTTAGATTATAGAAAAAGACATTTGCAAAAGAAAATTGAAATTTACACTGTTATTCATGTCATCACAATTAACCTGTTCCTTTATGAGACAGATGGAAAAGCAATGAGGGAAATAATGGAAAACATTAACAAATTTAGAACTATTTTGAATTTTAGCATCTTTAAAGAAGAAGAACTCCTTAATGAAATATTAAATTTTATTATTGGCATTATCAAATTCTTTTCTGGTCTTTGCTATTTATGATGTGTTTGTTACATGTAGCTGATTTCACTATACACAAAAGGTATGTTGTTAATTCATAATTTCATTATCTACTTTTTCATAATCACCATAGATGTAATTTTTAATCAACAACATGACAAATGCAATTTTTAATTAATAGTATAGTATAATACATTTAATTGTCACTAGTATAAAGGGCATTGTTGCACATCATTGTATCCATTCTTTCTGGTTCCTTCAGGGTTTCCTTAATTCTCAAACTAAAAACAAAACTAACCTAGCTATGTGTGGTGGTAAAAGCTTGCAACCCCAGCATTCTGGGAAGCTGAGGCAGGAAGACACAAGTTGGAGCCTAGCATGGCCAACTTATTAATTTAGTGAGCCTCTGTCTCAAAATTTAAAATTTTTTTAAAAAGGCTGGGGATGTAGTTCAGTGCATAGGCCCTGGGCTCAAGGTGCAGCATCACACACACAAACAAACACACCAAAAATCCCCAACCTGATTACCATGGGAAACACTATACTACACACAGGCTTATTGTTTTCTGCCAGAGAACATTCCTCAGTAAGACCTGCTCATCATTTGTTAAGCCCTAGATATTTGCGTGTCACAAGCAATGTTTAAAAGATACTATCTCCCCAAATCTCTCATAACATGGGTTTCAATAAATTTATTTTTTCTGGCTATTAATTCTGTAGCGTTGTATTTGAAATTATTATAAATTGCACTTTCAGTGCTAGCAAGTCTGTTTAAGATCCATATGATAATTTCATGTGTTTCCTTTACTAATTGTTCATCACCTTGCGATGACTGTGAATTTGACTTTCTGAGGTCAGATTCAGCAATGAAACTCCACTATGTATTCCTGTTCTTTCTATATACTTTATTTCCCACTGGGGAATATTTGGCAATTCCCTGGGACATTTAACCACCACCATTGGTATCACTGGCATATAGTAGGTAGAGGCCAGCTACGTTGCTAAGCATCCTAAAACAACAACAACAGTCTTCTCACAATAAGAATGATCTGGTCCCAAATGTCAGTGAATCAAGGTTGAGAATTCCTATTTGAAAACAAAATATCTGCCCTCTCAGCGCTCTTCCTAAACCCAAACCCAGCTATGAAGCCAACAGCGACCAACAGGCAACACAAATGGATGGGGACTCACTTCAGTCTTGTGTAGTCAGAGAAGCTTCAAGCAGAGATTTATATTTCACTGTGGCATTTTACAGGGCACTAAACTGAGTTAAACCTAGATCTAGGGGACCGAGGCCAAGTTATCATTATTATCCTTCAAGTAACACACTGGAACTTGACTTCTCCAAGCCTTATCAGCTGTGCACTTTGGCATAGTCTCTCTTGTGAGGCCTCTAGCGAGATGGAAAGTTACTGAGGGAGAGTCAGAAATTCTGAACCAAGCAGCAGGATTCATAGGGGAAGTGAGGGGAAGTGAGGCCATTGAGGTGGAGGATGGAGCTGCCGGGGAGGAGGGGAGAGACACAGCTGGGCCAGGTTGGTTTGAAATCAGACTCTGATGCTGCCAACATCCACTTGCCACAGAGGAGCTAGGCAGTGCTGCTTCTGAACATGGAAAACCCCCTTCTCAAGCATATCCAATGAGCTTAGGCTTCACAGTAGGGCAGACAGAAAAAACAGGTCTTACCGGGGGTGCTGATGGAGGGGGAGGGGGAGGAGCCCCCGGGGGCGGAGGAGGTGGAGGCAAAGGAGGCGGTGGTGGTGGCGGCACGGGCATATGTCACAGTGTTGGTGTGTCTTGCTAATAAATGGTCCCAAGAGAGTCGTTTCTGCTCTGAAAAAAAGAAAAGAGGTAGTTTTAAACTTGGATGTCTTTACTCACACACAGGAAATACATGGTTTGCAGACATGCACATTGTAGACAGTTTCATTCTTACACTTGTTCATTAGTTCACTCGTTCATTCACTCACAGGATGTTCACTGTGAGGCTGGTCTTGGGCTATGTATTGGAGACAGACAAAAGTAGCCAGATTCTAGAGAAACTTAAGTGATAAAGCTGATAGAATTTAGCATTTTGTGTCTCAGGATAAATAGAATATATAAATAGCTACACCTTATCATATAATGAGTTTTTCAGATAACTGAATTCTATATCATTAGCCTTGAACCTATAGTTTTATTATTTTCAATGCATTCTGCATAGATGCCCATCTTCTAGACCAGAAGAGAAGAAACAGAATGAAATTTAACCTTTTCTGAATGTCACAGACTCAACATTACTCACTATGCCAGCCTCGGGTGAGGCTCACAAGGGGCGGTAGTCATTTTCCTGCCCCCTCCTCTCCCGCCAGCTTTGACTTTCCTTGTTGTCCCTGGGTCGTGGTTTCTGCACAGACCCCTGGGTAGGTCATGTCACCTCTCATCTGCACCTCTCTCTATCTGGTATTTTCTCTACAGGTCTTTTGGGCAAGATTCTCCAAATTTGGCTTTGTTTCAACCAGTCAATATTGTGGGATGTTTGAATTCCAGGTAAATGTGGTATTTCTGTGCCGAACGTGTGTGTGCACGTGCACGTGTGGGTGCAGATGTGTGTCTTAGGACCTGTATCAGGATACACTGTATTAAAGAAAGCTCCACAAGAATTAGGAAAAGCTACATGAGACCCTAAATACAATTTAAGTAGAGACTGAAATAAACATCAGATGTAAGCAGGAGTGACTTTGTGTTTCTGTTGTCTTTAGAGGGCCAGACACGACCTGTCCCTCTGTTTCTTCATTTTTAACATCCTATGACATTTGTATCCTTTCATGAAATACTGTTACCTCTATAGAAGCGAAAAACAGTATTATGCATCATAATTCTTTATTCTTAACACATTCCACTGGATTTTGCTTACATGTTATTTCTTTTACTTTTTTACATTGTGGCTACCACGTGACAAGATAACTACATTAATTTCCATAACAATGCTCTTCTCAGGTCAGTAGCAATATCCCATTTTTATAGGTAAGCAAAAAGCCATGCAGAGACATGAGGTTTTGACGAGTCATACATAATTAGTAACTGGTAGACCTGATTGGAAGCCAGGTTTAAAGGCTCAAAGTCAAGAGTTTTTCCAATGTGATTTTAATTATTGTGGCAAAACATTTAACTAGTTTAAGTATACCATTCAGTTGTATCAAGTGCATTTGCAATGTCATGCAACCATGACCACTACCCACTCCCAGAAATTTTTCATCATCCCAAACAGAAACTCTGTATCCATTAAACAATAACTACATTGTTCCCATCCTCAAGCACCTGGTAATCTCTATTCTACTTTCTATAACTATGAATTTGCCAGTTCTACAGAATTTACTTACGTATATGTGACTACACAATCTTTGGCTGAGTCTGGCTTATTTCATGTAACATATTTTCTGTATATTCACATTGTAGCATGTACTAATTCCTGATTTTTCCTTTATGCGTCTATACCCCATTTTATTTAACCATCTGCTCATGGATACTTGGGTTGCTTCCAGTTTTTGGGTATTCTGAAATATGCTGCTATGAACACTGGGGTACAAATGTCTCTGTTAGACCTTGATTTCAAATTTTCTTTCTTTCTTTCTTTCTTTCTTTCTTTCTTTCTTTCTTTCTTTCTCTCTCTCTCTCTCTCTCTCTCTCTCTGTCTCTCTCTCTCTCTCTCTCTCCTTCCCTCCCTCCCTCCCTCCCTTCCTTCTTTCCTTTCATTGTGGTCTTTCTCTTTCTTTCATTTGTGGGGATTGAATGCAAGGTCTTCAAACGGAGCTACATCCCCAGCTTTGTTTTAATTTTTTATTTTGAGAGAGGGTCTTACTAAGTTGACAAGTTGCCCAGACTGGGCTTGAACTGCTGATCCTTCTGCCTCAGCCCCTCTGGATGGTGAGATTGCAGACATGTGCCACTATAACCACCTTGAATTTTTTTTATGCCTATTCTCAGGTATTGCAGAGCTGGATCCTATGGTACAAGCCTCTTTTCAGTAGCATTAAGAATTTTCTAAAATTGACAATGGTATAAGATGTACATGTTGAGCAACATTTTGGAGAAAGAGTCCATGATAATTTTTCTAAGAGCTACAAGGATATATGTGAGCTGATCGTTGAACAAGACCTCACTTTTCTTATAAAGTATCCCCTTGAAAAAAGGAGCCTTATAATCATTGCTATTGCTTCTTTGATATTAAGAGCAGAAAGACAGAAAAATACTCTTCAGAGCCCTCAGCATAAAACCACGGTAAAATCAAGCAGTTATTTCAGAGTTTAGTAGATGCTTGCTCCAAGTACTGTCAATGTTATTTTATTCACAATCTAATATACACGATAACATGAAATCCAACACAGCTAGCATCCTACAGGCTGAATGCTAAAACAAACTTGGATGTGAGTCCACAGTTTAATTGGAACAAACATAAATTAGCAGCTATTTGTATTTTGACACTTTCTTTCATAGACAGCATAGGGTATATTCTTTATATAATCTTGTATGAGGTGGCAAAAATATTTTCAGTCAAAAATTCACAGCAGGCTGGCTGAAGTATTAATAGAACAAGAGAATATAGAGTGGTGTCATTATGTAAGGACCTCATCTTTTAACTATGACACATGAGAGGAAACAGACTCACTTTTGCTGATGGAAAGAGTTTGGAAGAGTAGCTTAAAAAAACTAAAATGCTACTTACCTAAAAGTTTGCTATTTACCTGAGGGAAAATGACTGTAGGAAAATACCTTTAAGAAAACAATGGCAGGGTTATTCATGAAATCCTCAGCACACAGTTTGATTTCACTTCCCAGCATCCCTTGCAAGAAGGTGTAAGCATGTGACTGAGCTCTGGCCAATAGAATGAAGCCAGAAGTGATGTGCTATATTTCTGGGCTGGCTTATAGAGACCTTCTACCCATCATTCCTCTCTTTCTCTATCCATTGGCTGGAAAGCAACTGTCCTATGTTCTGTCAAAACCACATGATGAAGGATTTAGCTCAGTGACCCTGTGCCTGCTTCACAAGCGCAAGGTCCTAAGCTCCATCCCTGGTCCCCAAAACAACAACAACAACAACAAACCACATGATGAAAGGAATATGGGTTTCTGACACACCTTTTGTAATACTACTTGCCAAACACCTGAGACTTTATATACATGAAAAAATAAAACATCTGTTGTGCTAAGCAACGGAGATTTTAGAGTTAATTTGCTATAGCCACTAATACTTAACCTATTTAATACAGGATCTGAATAAAGTACAGTCAATTATTATTAGTCATTATAGCTATGTTCTATATAAAATTGTCATGTCAGGGTTAATTTTATGTGTCAACTTGACTGGGCTGAGGGATTCCACATGTGCCCACAATGGCCCTCAGTTACTCCCTCCTGAGGGATTCCAGGTAGCTGGTGGAACTTATTTCTGAATGTTTCTGTGAAGTTGTTTCTGAAGGGGGTTAGCATTTGAATCTGAAGACTAATGATGGATCTCTCTCACCAATGTGGGTGGGTATTACTCCATTTGTAGTGGGCATGAGCAGAATAACAGATTTCCTGGCCAACAGCACTGTGGCCCATGTATGATCAAAGCTTGTCTAACACACGTATTTGGGGGGTTTTTTTGGTACCAGGGATTGAACTCAAGTCCTTGAGCTTGCACAGCAGGCTGTGAAACCTCTGAGCTAAATAAATCCCCGGCCCTAACACACATATTTTCTACCAGTCATCCATACAGCTTTCTTGGGCGTAGAAACATAAGCAACACTGCAGTACTAGGCCTGAGGGCCACTTGAGCAGCAAAAGCATAAACATTCAAAACATGAGGTACTAGATAGACTCTGAGAAGGGACACTTCTTTCTGGTGTTCGAGCTGAAAAAGTTAGTTTTTTGTCTGCTAGTTCCACCTCAGCTGGTAATGTGCATGGTCGGTGACAATTTTATTTTATTTTTTACCACTTTCTGAATGTCTGTGAATGACCACAACACCACCATGAATATTGATTTTGGAGTTACACATAAACTTCAGCAAGTAGGTGAATTTGCAAATACAGAATATTCAAGTAATGAAGATCAGCTATGTAACTTTTTGGAAGTCCAATATATGCTCAGCACAACATTAGGGACTTTTAATACATTGTTTTATTTTATACTCATCAGTCTTATGGGTGGTATTTCCATGTAACAGACAACCAAGTTTTGTCTCAGGTTATGCAGTTTCTACGAAATTTCAGAGACAGAATCAAAATTGAGTTGAAAGCCCTGGCCTTCCTGATCCAAAACCTAATTTTCCTTGCACTTCATTACTTTATTAAATGGGTATGATTCAGGTTGTATTACTTCTGTGCTTCCATTTTGCAAAGATCTAAAAGTGTTTTTGGAACTATGAAGTGAAAGGGACCTCACAAAGGTGAGAACAATCCTTCCACTCCCTTCTCCCTGTGTGCTTTTGTCCTCCAGCTAGTTTTATCCCTAGGAATCTGAGAATGATTAGGTGCCACTGGGATCTGCCTCACTGCAATCACAGGGAGAGTGATTTTTCAGAGTCTGGAATTAAAGGATATTTTTATATGTGGAACTTGATGGTTGTACAGGCTTTTTCTTGACAGATATAATAATTAAGCAATTATCCAGAGAAGTATTTGTTAAAATCTGACAGTTAAAAATACAGAGCTCTAGGAAGTCACAGGCTGTACCATGAGCTCTTTGATCCTTTGTATTCTCTCGTGACCCATTTAAAAATGCTATTTTGTTCTGAACTATATTTCAAATGTTTAAGAGTTTTTAAAAAGCCAGTCTCTTAAAAGCTTTTATACTGCCTCATGACT